CCCTCTCTCCTCTCGTGTTCTCTCTCTCATTCTCAGATGAATAAATAAAATCTTAAAAAAAAATTTTTTTTCTAAAAAAAAAATATCATGTGAAAACATAGTGTTATTTTTTTCTTTGAGGATTTTTTAATCTACAAAAGCAGTACAGGTTTATAAAATTTCAAACAATATAAAAGCATGTAAAGTAAAATATATCTGCTTACTCCTCCTATTTCCCGTATTCCAGAGATAATCACTTTTGATAGTTTGGTTTGTGTCCTTCCTAGTGTTTAACAATAGGAGTGCCATTGACATTTTGGGTGGGATGGTTCTTTGTGTAGTATAGCTGTCAGTTTTGTTGATGAACTTTTAGCATTCTGCGCCCTCCCCAACTAGTCAATGTGACAACCAAGACTATCCCCTAGGTTACGGTATTATCACCCAGTTAAGAACTCACAGAGTTTTTATGCAATACAAATACAACTTCACATACAATTAGTTCTTTTTAAAACAAAAATAGAGGGGCGCCTGGGTGGCTCAGTTGGTTAAGCAACTGCCTTTGGTTCAGGTTGTCATCGGGATCAAGCCCCACATCGAGCCCCAGGGAGCCTGCTTCTCCCTATCCCTCTGCAGCTCCCCCTGCTTGTGCTCACTCTCTCTGTCAAATAAATACATAAAATCTTAAAAAATAAATAAATAAAACACAAATAAAGTAATACTCTACATTTGGCTCTTACTTTTTTTCCTTATCAATTTTTATTAGGACATACAAATTTACATATATTATTTCTTCTACACTTCATTGTCTTCCAAAGAGTGGATGTGTCATTATTTATTTAACTTTTCTCTTATTGAAGAACATATACAACATTTACAATGTTTCTGGGTTTTCACTCTTGTAAATAATGGTGCAGTGAACAACTTTGTTCATTTTGAGTTATAAGTTCAAACAAATATTGCTGTGGGAGCAGTTGCTAGAGGTAGAACTGGGACAAAGAAAATATTCATTTAATATGTTGAGATATAATGTTTGTGGTTATTTTAAAATCCATACTTCAAAATTAAAATATATGGCTTAGTATAATACTTCTGACAAAAATCATTTAAATTTTTTTTTTTAAATTTGCTAGATAACCTGTACCTTTATTGCTGTAATTTGAAATTATGTAGAGAGAATAGTATAATAAATGGTCCAATACCACATTTTGAAAATTTAGTTTATCTTCTGTTTTCTAGGTTGCTTTGCCTAATTGATTACTATGAATGTAAAATTAGAAAATTGCGTAAACAAAGGTAAGTCTAATCCTGTTTACAATTTTTAAAGTTAATTACCCAGTCATGAATTACACCAAAAGTTTTTATAGTCTTTTGAAACTTTAAATATGCTTTGGAAATCGACCTAATATGTAACTATGAATTTCTTTTTTTATAAAGACTTTGAAGACTTTTACTTTTTATGTTAAAATGTATTGTTGCATTCATTTTAAAATATTCATATTTAATAATCACCAAAATATTTGTCACAGAAGAAATAGTATTTGTTTTAGTTTGTTGAAGCATTATAATTTGTCTACTGTTGTCATCTAGCTACTGGACAGTTACTGAGTATATCCACAGACTGCATAGGATTAGACTAGCTGCCCACCGAAGTGCACCATCATTAGTGTGCAGATTTATAGGAGATAAAGACAAACTGTCTTAGTGACAAATCAAACATATAGAGTAAAACACACTTGTCACCTCTGATTAAAAAAATAAGGGTAAAGATAAAGATAATGGTCTTTTTTTTTTTTTTTTAAAGATTTTATTTATTTATTTGACAGCGAGAGAGATAGCTAGAGCAGGAACACAAGCAGGGGGAGTGGGAGAGAGAGAGGCAGGCTTCCTGCCGAGCAGGAAGCCCGATGCGGGACTCGATCCCAGGACCCCAGGATCATGACCTGAGCCGAAGGCAGACGCTTAACGACTGAGCCACCCAGGCGCCCAAGATAATGGTCTTTGACTAACCTAAAATAACTGAGGGATATCTAAGGCCAAATAATCCAAAGTGCTTTAAGGTCATTAAAACAGCTGTTTTGTTTCATTGTTTATAGATGGAATAATTCTTTTAACAAATATTTGAGCACCTACCTCGTGCCATGTTGTTTTAGGTACTTAGGATACCGTAATAAACAATGCAGATAAATTCTCCATTTTTGTCAGGTGTACATTCTTGTATTCTCTCCCCAAGAATAATGACTTTCCAGAAACACAGCAGGACAAATGGCAGAGCTGTGCTGGTTGCTGATTCCTCTAGCACCTTGGGGACTCTAAAAAAACAAAAACAAAAAAAACAACCAACCAACCAACAAAACCTAGCATGCAGGGGAGAAAGAAGTGAACAAGGGAGGAAGGGAAGACCAGAAGAATACAACTAATGATAGAGCAATTCCTTGTTTCATTCTATTCAGAAAGTAGCATTATATCAAGTAACTTCAGAGACCTCCTGATTTCCAAATGAAACTGTGTCTTTTAGATGATAGGCATGGTGTTAGATTCTACAGAGATGAGACAAAGTTTTGGATATGATTCTTACCTTCTAAGATTTTACAGTCTAGTAAGGGAGATAAAATGTAAACACATTAATAATTAAGAAAAATAATAGGAGATTAAAAAACACTAATACACATAATGTCATTATAGAGTAATTATTAAAAATTGTACAGACAGTAATATAGGAGTTTAGAACAAGAACAAAATAGTTTTGGATGGAGTGACCAGAGAAGCCTTTACAAAGCAGATGAGGGTTGGGCTTGAGCTTGAAGGATAAGTAAAATTTGGGAAAGTAGAAAGGCAAAAAAGGTAGTCATTTTAGACCACTTGGATGCTATGAGCAAAAGTGCATAGATATGGAAGTGTAGATTTTTTTATGGCACTGTGATTAAACCAGTTTGGCTGGAGTTCAAGGCATTTGTTGGTATATTATAGATAGACGTAGTAATCTATAGAGAGCAGTCTTTCACATACTGGACCAAGTAGGCTGTAAATGAATGAGAAGGCATCATTTGCCTTGGAAAGAAGGAAGGCACTTTTTCCTTTAATACTGAAAAACTGGGTGATGAGGTTATAGATATGTAGATTAGTCAGGATTCTCAAGAGAAACAGAACCAATAGGATGTACATTTATGTGGGTAGAAAAATTTAAAGGAATTGGTTTTGATTGTGAGGCAGGCCTGCAGGCTAGAGACCCAGGGAAGAGTTCCTTGTTGTGGGTCTCAGTCTTTGTTCTTAAGGCCTTTAATTGCATGAGGCCTACTCACATTATGAAAGATTCTTTACTTAAAGTCTCTTGATTTAAATGTTAATCATATCTAAAAAATGCCTCATAGCAATATCTAGACTGGTGTTTGACCAAACAGCTGGGCACCAACTTGACACTAAAATGGATAGTCATAGTATGTAAGAGTAAAAAGAAGGAAAATGAAGAATTTAATGGCTTGAAAGGTTGCAAACTTAAGCTTACACAATCAAGAAAATAATGAAAGTGAGTGAAGCAGGCTAGGTGAGGACTGTGGCAAATTGGATGGCTATCTACCATCTTTCTGAAGGGGGCCATTACTTACACACTCTAGCCAGCTGATACCTTGTAAGAATGTGAGTTCAGTGTGGCTAGATTTGCTGGGTTTTCGAGATTTATAAATGAAATAAGATTTTTAATATTCACAATTAATGATTTAAAAAATATTTTATGGTCCACAGAGAACAAACTGATGGTTGCCAGAGAAAAGGGGAGTGGGAGGTGGCCAGAATGGGTAAGGAGAGAAGGATATGAGGCTTCCACTTATGGAATGAATAAGTCATGTGAATAATAGGGAAAGCGTAGGGAATATAGTCAATGATATTGTAATAGTGTATGGTGATAGAAGGTAGCTACACTTGTGAGCATAGAGAACATACAGAGAAGTTGAATCACTATGTTGTACGCCTGAAACTAATGTAACATTGTATGTCAACTGTAGTCATAAAAAATTTAAAAAGAAAAAACAAAAATATTATATGGTCCAAACTGAATATCAATTGCAACCTTTGGGCTATGTCTTTAGTAAATTCTAATCTAGATTTAGGTGTTTGCAAACTTTTCTGTAATGGGCCAGACAGTAAATATTATAGGCATTTTAGGCTGTATAATCTCACAACTCTTCAAGCCTGCTCTTGTAGCACAAAGGCAGCCACAGATGATATGTAAATGAATTGGCATGGCTGTGTTCTGTAAAACTCTAATTACAAAAATCCACAGCCTGCATGTAGCCCACAGGCAGCAGCTTGCTGATGGCTGACTTGATATATGATGGAGTTTGGGTTTTTAGTAAAAGTAGAGAAGACTTAGCATAGCCATCATTTGAAATCCGTCATGTGGGATATAGTATGAGAAGTTGCCTCTGAAGTTGTGCAAAGTGGGGTTCTCTGACTATAAATGATAAAAGGATTGAGTCCATTTTGGGGAGGAGTGTTGAATTTGGTTGAGGAATGAGAACGTTGGCAGAAAGGAATTCCCTTTTCACTTAGCAATCCTGTCATCACTGGCCTAGCTGAAGTGAGATAGTTTGGCTTATAAAAACCTTGCTCAGGGGCGCCTGGGTGGCTCAGTTGGTTAAGTGACTGCCTTCGGCTCAGGTCATGATCCTGGAGTCCCTGGATCGAGTCCCTGGATCGAGTCCCGCATCGGGCTCCCTGCTCGGCAGGGAGCCTGCTTCTCCCTCTGACCCTCCCCCCTCTCATGTGCTCTCTCTCTCTCATTCTGTCTCAAATAAATAAATAAAATCTTTAAAAAAAAAAAATTAATTAATTAAAAAAAAAAATAAAAACCTTGCTCAGGCCAGATATTTGGATTGAATGTCTCTCACTAAGGAAGAAGGAGATAGGAAGAAAATAGGAGCTACATTATATATAATCTTACAGATGAAAAAATTAGAAGTCATTTATACTTTGCAATGATGAAGAGTCTCCAAAGAGGAGGGTTTTTCAGGGTTCACTGACTTTATAGACCCCAATAGTCTCCTTTCTAAGAGTGAGTACAAACTTGATAGTGAGATTGTAGCAACTTCAAGGTGAATTTTGAGATCTATAAATAGGATATTATTATCACTTGAAGGAGCAGGAGTAGTGTAAAAGGAGGGTATGATTGATAAGTATTACATTACTAAAGAAAAAAAGATGAAAGAGTTGAGAGATGAAAGAGCTGAAACAGGAGAGAAAATGAGGGATTTGGAGGCCTACATAGGATACACAGGAAGCACAGGAGAAGGAGGTATGTACCTGTAGAGGTAGGGGAGCAAGACCAAGGGAAGAAGACAGATGGGACAGGGCCTCTTGCAGAGGCAAAAGCCCCTGCTTAACGCCTGTTTATTAAGCTCAGTGTTGTCTAAAGTTTTTCTCATTATGAAACACAAATATTGATATTTTTGTACCACACTTGGGGTACACACAAAGCTGTAATCAGGAGTGCCTGGTTCAAGAACTCTGACTACCTTAAACCCTACCCAGTTGTCCTGAGGCCTGAGGGGGATGAATATCTTGCCATATCTATAACTCTTTTGCACAGCACACCTATGGTACACTATTTGGGGACTCTAATTTAGGGCACAGGTTTGGGAAGACTTCCAGAGGGTCTTGTGAAGGGAGTTTCAGAATACTATGGACTGGTATTACTTTCTGTCTCCATATATGAGCAAACTCGGAAAGGAGTCAGCAATCAAGGCAGTAGAAATGTGAATACAAGAGTTAACAAGTTGGAAGTCTTAGAAAACTGCAAATGTGCTATAATCTCTGAAACAGGAAAAGTACATTTTAAAATGATAGGCTTTCAGCTATGTAATTTTACTTTTTTTTTTACCCAGTGTTACTGCATCAATATAGATTACATGAAATATATTGCTAGTTATTTCTGTTAGTATTTCCCTGACTTGGTGGATACGTTGAAGAGCCAAGGAAAGTAACATAGGAATAAAACCTATTAGGCTCACATTTTCTTCTCAGATGTCAGAGACACTTGAAAAATTACCCTAGGGAAAATGGTTCTGTAGTGAATTAGTAGTTAAGTGAAGCTCCCTTGTTTAATTCCATCTTTCTCTTTAGATAGAAATTTTATTTATTTATTTATTTTTTTTTAAAGGTTTTATTTATTTATCTGAGAGAGAGAATGGGAGACAGAGAGCATGAGAGGGGGAGGGTCAGAGGGAGAAGCAGACTCCCTGCTGAGCAGGGAGCCCGATGTGGGACTCGATCCCGGGACTCCAGGATCATGACCTGAGCTGAAGGCAGTCGCTTAACCAACTGAGCCACCCAGGTGCCCCTAGATAGAAATTTTAAAAATGGTCTTGGATAATGGAAGCAGGTAACTTTGGAAGTTCATTTCTGATTTCCTGGACATGAGTGCTTTAATATATTTTACTTACTTTTAACACCAATGCTGTGAGGTAGATGTGATAGATACTTCTCTGACAGAAGACAAATTCTGAGAGATTGATCTATTCAAATAGCATCGGGTTAATGGTGTCAGCACTTGAATTGGGACTATTAAATCTGTTGCCTTGTCTACTCATACTGTGTATTTTTTTCGTATAGGTTTTTTGGTGACCTAAAAGTACTAGAAAGAAAAAACAGTATGCTATGTTTCTTTATTCATTCAAAAAGTGGTTTTTTCACCCCCTTTATGCCCCATACTCTTCTAGGTAGTTGAGATGCAATGGTGAACAAAACGAAGTTCTGGTCCACATGGATCTTATGTTTTAATTTAAGGTGATAGTGAACAGATATGTACTGTAATACTGGGTAGTAGTATGTTCTAGTACCATTCTCTCTGAGAACAAGTAGGAAATTTGGCTTAAATTTTAATTCATGTTTAGGTTATCAAACATTTATTGGGTTGATTTTTGTTAGCTGTATTTTTTCCTTTGAAGATAGATTTTTCATAAGTACGCACTATGTATCTTTTCACAGGCAATATAAAGAAAATGAAAGTCTGTCAGAAGAAGAAAAAGACTACAGAAGTTTGGATGCCTCACCAACTTATAAAGGCCTTCTAATGGTAAGGGGACTACAAGACTAGTTACTTTTTTATAAAGTAAAATAATAATCTAGGAAGTAAAATAATAATCTAGGAAAGTTAACTACTTTTCTATGAAATGTGTTGAAGTCATTACAGAATCAACTCAAGGAATCGAAATCCAAGATTGATGCACTTTTAAGTGAAAAGCTGAATCTCCAAAAAGATTTGGAAACCAGGTGAGAGAAACTTAAGTAATTTTTATTTAACTTTTAGAAAGTAAACACATATTGGAATTTGGGGTGTTAAATGAATCTTTCCAGCTCCTTTACTGTAAAACTAATCTTGGAAACCTCATACTTCTTTATAACCATTTTAGTTAGTTGTATCTCATATGATGTAAGGAACAAGAACACACGTAGGTAGGGAAGGGAAGTGAGAATATAGGAGCCCACATTGAAAAAGATAAAACTGGGTGGGAACGCAGAGTAGATTCAGATTTATATCAGCAGGTTTCACATTCCCAAATTTCTTTATAATGTCTTACTATCTTATCCCTGTGTTGTGAGAGGAGAAGAAAACTAAAAAGTTTAAATGTCATACAACAAGGTATATTTATATGTAGCATGCCACCACAAAAGCATGACATTCTGTACATTGACAAGGAATAATAAGGAATGAACATTGTTGAGATTTTTTTCATTTAACAAGTGTTTGTTGAGTACCTCTTATAAGTTGGACAGTGGTACTAAGCTCTGGTGTAATATAATGACCAAAATAAATAACTTGTTCTCATAAAGATTATATTTAAATGGAGCAGGAACTGATACCTAAAGTAGAAACCACTTACGTAAAGTTTAAAAAAACCTACCACATAATGATATGTGAATTTGTGGCTATATAAATATGTAATAAGAATTTTAAACCATGCATGGGAATAATGAACAGTGAATTTGGGATAGCGGTTACCTAATAGGGACACACATGGAGTTTTAACTATATGTATAATGTTTTAGTTAAAAAAAAAAATTCAAAACAAATCTGTCAATATTTCACTTTGGTGAAGCCGAGTAGTGGGTATACCATTGTTTATTTTACTATTCTCTCTTCTTGTCTGTACATTTGAAATATTTCACTATAAAAACAAGTAATAGATTAACAACAAACAAAATGGGTAAAAAGTTTTGAACAGGGAATACATGGAACGAGAAATTCAGTGGCCAAGAAACACCTCACTGGCAGTCATGAAATATTTTAAGGTTTCTAATAAGCATATTTGTGACAAGTAACATGGTATACCTTATTTATTAAATATCCTTATAGTTTTACTCAATAAACTGAATGCATTCAATGTGATTTATTTTCTACAGGCCCACACAGCATGAATTAAGACTTTATAAACAACAGGTGAAGAAACTGGAGAAAGCCCTTAAGAAAGACATCAAGTAATTATACCTTACCAAAGTTAACAGATTCGTTATGGTTTTGTATTATATTATTTTTATTACCTGTAAGTTTACTTCGTGCTTACCTCATAGTGGCCTTAGCTTGAAATTACCAGACTGATGGGGGAGATGACATAATAGGATATTTCTGGTTCCACAGTTTAAAAACAGTTTCTACTGTGTTGAATTTGGCTATATATTTATCTTAAGAACAAAAAAAGACATTTACCTGATGTAATAAGGGCAAAGATTTTTTTTTTTTTTAAAGATTTATTTATTTATTTGAGAGAGCGAGAATGAGAGAGAGAGAGTACATGAGAGGGGGGAGGGTTAGAGGGAGAAGCAGTCACCTTGCTGAGCAGGGAGCCCGATGCGGGACTCGATCCAGGGACTCCAGGATCATGACCTGAGCCGAAGGCAGTCGCTTAACCAACTGAGCCACCCAGGCGCCCCAAGGGCAAAGATTTTAACTAGAACATTGTCTTTGGAAGCCATAGAGGAATTGCAAGTGAATCATTGAAATTAGACATGACAAGCCCCCAATTTTTGTTGGTGCTAGTCGTGACCTGAATAATACACAGCCTTATCGCACTTCAAAAGTACTAGAATGAATGCAGTGAGCCATTCACATCTCTCACTTGTACTTTTCTTTTCTTGACTTTGAAAAGCACAGTCTCAGAGGAGTTTGAAAAAGTTGGTCCTAAATAATTGGTAGTATTTTCTGAAGATTGCCTAGGTGTACTCTTTCATTCGAGGGAATGGGACTTGAAGAGGTAGTGTGGGGAGCATTGGGAGGAAATATTTTGAAAACTATATGAGTTAATATATGCATTAGATGTATTAAGTCACTTGTATTAGCATAAGTTGATTCAATTTTCAGGGACAACTATGTTTCTTCCTTCCCATGGCAACACATGCCACTGTGAAAGGCAAATATTCTGGACATCCAAGGATTAACATACTGAGTTAAATTAAGATAGGATAGAAGGAAAACTAAAAAAGAAAAGAGAAATGGAAGGTTCAGAAAGGCTGCATTCATTAGTTCACTTTTTTCCCCTTCCTACTATTCCTTAATATTTTGGGTACCTTTAGTACTTCCTACTATTTGCTTGGCATTCTGGGTACTGGAATTGCAGTGATAAGCCAAATAGTAAGGTCCCTGACCTCATGGAGATTACATGAGGGGAGAAGGACAATGAAAAAAATAAATAAGACCATTTGGATGTAGTATAAGTACTAAGTGTAAAATAGTATGAGAGTTGCTGTTGTGTGAGTTTGGACAAGAGGTGGTGGTGACATGGTCACAGAGGGCAGTAGTGGCAAAGGTGAGAAGTGTCTGGAATATTGGAGGTAGAGCTGATAGGACTTGGTGATGGATTGGGTGGATATAGGCAGCTCAGGGGGAAAAAATCAAGACTCCTTTAAGTTTTAGGCCTGAATAACTAGATCGTTATTGGTGTCAAAATGAGATAGGAAAACTGGTTGAGAAGCAACTGGGAGAAGGAGGATGAAGGGAGTTAAAAAGAGGGGAAGGTATAGATAGATGTTATATGTGAATATATGAAAGTCTTCATAAGGAAATTAAAGCCTGAAGAAACAGTTAAGCCTGAGCCTTCTTATACTACTTTTGTTTTTTATT